TATATAGATAGATATATAGATAGATATATAGATAGATATATAGATAGATATATAGATATATAGATAGAGATATATATCTCTTGACAAATGTATCTGTGTGTACGATGAAATTCAAGACAAGGAATGCTTTGCCTTAAGTTATGAGCAAAGCATCCGATCCATCCCACGACTGGAAGGCTTTGAGAAATTCTGCCAAGAGAAGAAGATGGTCACAGCTTGTGTGGTCGGCCTGAGGCTGCTTTTGCTGGCCAAGGAGATAATGCAGCTCATTGAACAGGAAGTTTTGACCTGATCTAACTCTGGCTTCATTCCTCTTTGCCCCTTCTTTTTTCCTGGCAGATACCATGGTTTGCACTGGATGCTGCTCCTGCTTAGACCACATTGTCACTTATCTCTTCAAGCAGCTGTCGCGCAGCACCAAAAAAAGGCCTGCCCCATTGACCCAGGAAAGCGACCGGTTCCTCCACATCATGCAGCAGCACCCTGAGATGATTCAACAGGTCAGGACAAGGAGGGCAGGACTAAGGGGGTGTTTCTGAAGTTGGCTCCAGGGTCCTAGCCCTTTAGTTGAGTAAGCCTAAAACCCTTGGCCGGAATATTTACACACACGGGTCACAAGAAGCGATTCTTCTGCCCCAGGAAACGACTGCAGAACTCTTCATCTCCTCATTTTCAATATTGTTTGAGAAAAGGCTGAGCTGCCTTTGACTCTTCCGGCCCAGAGGCCAACAGGTCGCCTGTCACTAACTGCTTGCAAGCACATGTCCCTGGTCTCAATGACAGTGCCCAGCAATCAGTGTCTCCTTTCAGGATGACCTTCATTGGAGGCGCCAACCTCCGCGTTCCAAGGGTTTTTAATGCTTCCAGTGGGTTGTGTGGCTTTATTCCAACTATTTGTTCTTCTGGCAGTTCAAGACACTCCCCTTTCTTCAGTTCAAAGGGCTCAATTCTTCTCTGTTTATCCTATCAGTAGCCCAACTTCCACAACCATCTGTTGTGATCGGGAGATTCCTCGCACCTTGCAACATTCCTCAGAATATTTCTTCCAACAATCTTAATTTCATTTTTTTTTCCTTTCAATCTAGCTTTTCTCAAAATACATTTCACATATCTGTGGAATAGGTAGCAGAATGCACTCTTTTCCTGTGCGCTGCTTGGGGAATCCAAGCATGGGTTAACTTTGTCCATTAGCCTTGAGACTGAGTTATGCAAATTGCTGGCCACACCTCCTCTGACTGCACTGGTTCACTTTTTTAACTCAGTCCAGCCTAAAGAGATGCAAAATTATTCTCTCTGGGTTACTAGACAACTTCATCATTATTATTATTCAGCTTGGATTCTCTTCACCAGCTTGAGCTCCTTTCGCGGAGCGGTAAATATCTCTACAAATAGGTTCGTTTTCTCTTCATTTGAAGTGGCATTTTAGCATTCCCGGAGCCTTTGGGGCCAGGGAACCTCTTTATTGGAGGCGAGGGCGTGCCGTTGTTCTTTGTGGGAAGGTCAGTTCGCCGCCTTCGTTTTGTCTTGCCGCGGTTGGGGATCAGTTCGCTGCCCCCGCGCCGCCCACTCTAGCCGCTGTCCATCTCCCCGCGAGGTTGCCTGGTGACACGCGGAGCCCCATCACCATATGGCTGGGTTCTCTGTATTACCTCAACCTCGAGAGCCTCTGGAAGCTGCAGCTGCGGTCGCTGGCAAGATACGAAGCAGACGTTCTCCATTCTGGTGGCAGTCTTTGTACCTCACCGATCTGAATCTCCTTCCCTCCGCTGTTGGTCAGTGAACGTGAGCTTGAGCCCTTTCAACCTAGTTTACATGGCGGATCATTCTATTACTGGGGGCAGAGCTAGGGCTTCCACCTCTCCTCAGTTGTCCTCTGATGCCACTGGGGCCTCATCTAGAGTGGGTAGGATGAGATCCCATGCCACCTCAGTGGCTCCTGCCAGGGCCGCTAAGCGCACCAGTAAGACCAAGAACGGGTCTAGGGGTCCCTCAGCCCCCAGGCCACCTCCCATCCTGCTGCCTGAAGGGCCTTCTACCTTCAGCCTAACTGGAATTCAAGATCGGTCCCGAGACCTCCCTCTCCCTCAGAATCTCACAACTGCAGGACCTGACTCAGGCCTTCAAGGCTCGCCTGATCTTCTGAGCCCAGCCCAGGCCCGGCCTCCTCCTGTTCAGGGGCCTCAGCCACCTTTACTCCCACGGCTGCTGGCAGCAG